CTGGATATATAATTCTTGGCTGGCAATTCTTCTCCTTCAAGGCTTTATATACGTCATCCCATTGCCTTCTTGCCTGCATGGTTTCTGCTGAGTAGTCTGAGGTTAGTCTTATTGACTCTTCTTTGTAGATGACTTTTCGTTTATCCCTAGCCACTCTTAAAATTCTCTTTATCTTTGGTTTTGGTAATTTTTATTATAATAGGTCTTGGTGACTGTCTTTTGGAATCTACCTTATGTGGGGTTCGATGAGCATCTTGGATAGATTTCTTCTCATTTTTCATGATATCAGGGAAGTTTTCTGCCAATAAATCTTCAACAATTCTGTCTTTTCTGTTATCCCCCCTATTCTGGTACTCCAATCACTCATAGGTTATTCCTCTTGATACAGTCCCACATAATTCTTAAGGTTTATTTTAAAAAATTTTTTTAATCTAATTTTTTGTCAGATAAGTTGGTGTTAAGTGCTTTATCTTCAATCTCACTAATTCTGACTTCTATCACCTCAGTTCTGCTCCTATGACTTTCTATTGAGTTGTCTTAATTCTGAAATTCTATTGTTAATCTTCTGGATTTCTGAGTATTGTCTCTCTATGGATTCTTACAGCCAATTAAATTTGTCATCATGCTCTTGAATAACCTTCTTAAGATTCTCCATTGCTTTGTCTTTGTGTTCTTTGGCTTGTTCTGTGTTTTGCATGATCTCCTTCCTGATCTCTGCATAGTTCTGTATATTAATCTTTTGTATCCTACCTCCGGTAATTGCAAGAAATTCTCTTCCTCCGGAATATTTCTAGATTCTGTATTTTAGGAGCTTGCTGAAGCCATCATGGTCTGCCTCTTTTTGTAATTTGATATTGACTGTTGTCTCCGAGCCATCAGTGTTATTATATTCATTTATTTTATGTTTGCTTACTGTGTTCTAGCTTCTTGTTTTGTTTTGTCTCGATATGCCCAGATAGGCTGCTCATATAAGCTAGTTTGATTATTGGTGCCTTTGAAGCTCTAACGTCCTGTCATCAGGTGGTTAGAACTGTTACTAGGTATGTGAGCCCAAAAGTCTGTGTACTTTTCTTGTACGAATTCAGCCTAGGTGTCCAGGTAGTTGGTCACCAAGGGTGTGGTGCAGGCTCTCACCTACAGTCCTAGATGGGCATGGGTGACTGGCGTAGGCACAGGTATCTAGCTGCAGTAGGCAGTCATATGCTGAGCAAGGCAGGGGGCTGATGGCTGCCCTTGAGTGTCTGGAAGGAAACCGTGTCCCTGTTCCCTACAGCACATAAGTGGGTCAGTTATGCAGCTGGACTACGGGCACTCAGTGCTGTTGGCTGTAAGGTCTGGGGGGCACCATTTATTCTTGGACTCCTGTTGCAGGTGGCTAGGTGGCGTGGGTGGAGTAACCAGTCCTCAGGCCTCTGATGTGGGTGAGGACCCTGCTTAATGGGCAGAGCAGTGTCAAATGTCACGAACCTGCCACTTCACCATATAGCTGAAAAGATGAAGTTAGCCTTCAGGTATATACCCTGTTGTACTGTGGTAATGAGGGCCTACACTGTTGAAATGGGCCCACACAGGTCTATGCAGGGGTGAAAGGCATTAAAAGTCCATGAACCCCTTATGCCTATGTCTAGGCAAAGGAGCTGTCCCTACCCTGAGTTCCTGGTGTAGGGGGAGCCAGCAGATTATTTTTTCCCATTTAATTTGATCACTCTCCAAGGCCAGCAGAATGGTTCAGGGCACATGATGGGTCCTACTTCCGGCCCAAAGGATGAGACAATCGCTGAAGCCTGCCCAGGACCCGGTGGTGAGTGGGGAGGGGGCAGGTAAATGGGAGAGAGGTTTCTCCCAAAGGAGGTGGGTGTTTTTGATTCACGCAGTAGCTCAGATGCAAGTACTTGTCTTTTGCCAATTGAGCACTGCTTTTCACTGTTTTTGGATGCCCGAGTAGACTCTCTGCCACTGGGTCTCTCCCAATGTGGAAAATGCCTCCCAAGCACCACTGCTTGCCTCACTGCACACACAAGCCTATCTGGCCTGAAGGGCTCCAGCTCCCACCAGGTCAGGTCTAGCAACTCCTCGCTGCTTCTGAACCATCTCTCCCTCCCCCTGCCACTCATTCCAATTCCTCACTCATTCCAATTCCTCAACTTTGTCATTGATGTTCAAGGCTCCTAGACTGTCATATATAATCAGTCACTTGTTTTTTTGGGTCTTTGTTGTCAGTGACCACTGGAAGCATCTGACTACTCTGCTATCTTGGCCCCGCCTCCTCTGCTTTTGTGTTTTGTTGGTTTATTGTAGAGAGCCTTTTTGGTTCCCTTCTTCTTTCCTTTTGTGTATTTTTTTGATACTTTCTTAGTGGTTACCATGAATATTACACTTGACATCTTGCATTTATAACATCCTAGGGTGAGCTGATACCAATTTAACTTCAGTAACATGCAAGAAATTCTATACCTATCCCATTCTCCCTCCACCCCATTTTGTTGCTGTTATCACTAATTACATCTTTATATTTCATGTACTCTATAATTCTATCCTTGTTTTTTAGACATTTGTCATTAAAAGGTAGGACAAAATAATTAGAATCATCAAACATGAATAACTTATTAACAGCCCTTATACTTGTCCATGAAATTACCTTTACTAGAGACCTTTCTTTTTATATATGGCTTTAAATTGCTTTCTAGCATCCTTTCTCTTCCATCTGCAGAACTCTCAGTAGTATTTTTTGTAGGGGTGGTCTGGTGGATACATGAAGTGTATCAGATTCTGTTTGTCTGGGAATGTTTAAATTTCACCTTCATTCTTAAAGGACAGTTCCACTGGGTATAGTATTCTTGGTTGATAGTTTTTTTTTTTCTTTCAGCACTTTAAATATATTATTCCATTGCCTTCTAGCCTCCAATGTTTCTGAGGAGAAATCAGCACTATTGGTGATCCTTCATATGTGAGTTATTTGCTTCTGTCTTGTTGCTTTCAGGATTCTCTCTTTATCTTTACTTTCTGAGAAACTGATCATGTGTCTTGGTGTACATCTCTTCAAGTTTATCCTGCTTGGAGTTCTTTGAGCTTCTTGGACTTAGAGATTCATGTCCTTTGTCAGATTTTGGAAATTTTCTGTCATTATTTCTTCGAATATTCTTTCTATCCCTTTCTCTGTCTTATCTTCTGGAATTCCCATGATGTGTATATTAAGTCTCTTGGTGTTGTTCCCTAATTCCATTAAACTGTGCTCAGTGGTCTTGAACCTCCATTGTTGATGCTCTTCATCCTCCGTAATTTGCGCTATCTTACCTGCTAATTCACTGATTCTTTCTTCTACCTGATTAAATCTGTTGTTAAATACATTATATTTCTCCTTTCAGTTATTGTCCCTTTCAGTTGCAGTATTTGTTTTCTTTTTATCAGTTTTTTTTTTTTTAAACATATATCCTCATTTTGTTCATGCATTGTTTTCTTATTTGAAGATGACTTTTACATCAGTTTGGAGCAGTTCTCTTAATAGAGGTGGAGGGGAAGAATGGAGGTATTCTGGGATGGGAGATGTTAAAGAAATAATACTGCTTAGTAATTAGCCTTTCTCCTTTCTGATCAAAGACAAGGTGTAGGAGAGTACTCTTTCCCAAGTGATCATGAAACCTAACAAGCAGAAGCACAATTGTCAGCCAGAATACCCCCTAAAGGTAGAAGATACATGGACAGAATTCCTTATTGTAGAAATCCTGAGATGAAGAAGGTAAACGACACTGCTTATGCTCTGTACTGAGGAAAGAATCTCCCCAAGTCACGTGAAACATGTCAGTGTGGTGTTAGAGAGCCAAGCTTTCAGGGTTGTTCTTTTACCAGTTTCCATTGGTTCACAAAGAATTGAGGATTAGAAGACTCACAGCCTAACCTCATGTACAACTGGGAAGGGTATGTGACAAACGTGAGACTTTTTCCTTAAAATGAATACACCCCACCATACTTAGACCCTCCTTGGCAAGCTAGGCACCTATTCTAATTATGTTGTTATAGCTGAAATATATTTTGACCTGAATTTATAACTACTCTGTAATTCCCCAGCTATGTGAAAAAATAAGTTGCACCATTTAAAAATCACACATAAAATATTTGCTTAGCAATATTACCCAACTTAATCAGGTATGATTGGATCTGAATGACTTTTGTTTCCAAATATGAAACTCTTTCACAAAAGATAAGTTGCCACCACTGGATAAATTCAGAAAGCTCCACCGCAAGCTCTGATGGCCATTCTAAGTGTGAGGTTCTACATGCATTCTGAGCACAGGGCAGTCCTCAGAAAATGGTGACTACTTTGGAAGGAGTAATGCTTGTTGTGACATATAAGTTTGTAACATCTGTAAAAAAGAACCTTATAACACTTCAGGTTAAATTTTAACGGATTATCAAGCCATCAGAATAAAGCACTATCCTGGAAAGTTATCTGAAAGGTTTAAAAAATTTTTATTTTCATAAATTAACACACATAACAGTGGGAATTTTAGCGTCACAAACTACCAAACAGAAAAGAAATTGCAGGGGCATCATGTATGCCAATGTTACTAAAAATGTACAAATTTCACTGAACTATTGACCATGATAATATATAAACACTTCAGGCAGCAATCTACTGGCCCAGACCAGCCCAAGGAGATGCTGAGGTCTCTCACCAGGAATTCAAATCCAGTTCAGCACCAGAGAGGGAATTGTGAAAATACACAATTAACAAGGATCAAATTTGAGAGTATGCTGTGCTAGACGGTGAGCTATATAGCGACCCCCACTTTATAGTCAAAATAGCTTTGCTGCTCAATTTGTGGATAGATGGTAATATTAAACTTTGATTTTAGTAAAATTAAGCCTCTCCCTAGTCAGCTTAATAAATAAGTTCAGTTCTGGCATGGATCCGTTTCCTCACATGAATCCAGGAAAGGATACTTCACACCTCTGGACAATTATTCATACTTTGGATACAGCCACCCACAATGTGGAATTTAAGAGGTCCTTTCCATGATAGCAGGTGAAAAGCTTATAAAAACAAAGCAAAACAAAATCTCCAAGGGAATTAAAGAAAGCACCAACTGCATACTTTACCCACAGGGGAAAAGTATCACTGCCTAAAAGTTGGTCTTTCGTGGATCTTAATGAACATGGTATCGATTATGAAAGATGGAACTCTAGCCTGGAGATGGAGCACTGGCTCTGTATCCCACCAGCCTGCACCGAAGCCTCAGCTCTGTGCCTGCAGTTCGGCCCCCTCCTCGCTGCTCTCAGTCAGGTAGGTGGGGAGGAACCACGGTCCATGTATGGTGCCCAGAGAGCAGGATCTGGAATTGAGCTCAGGTTGGCTCTGGTGCCCACGCAGAAGACCCTTTCAGGCAAAATTGTGACAAAGTATCATGATTTTCACAGCTCTAAGCAGAGCACTGAATTTTAGGATTCACAGCATAAGTTTCTGAGCTCTTCAGGCTCTGAGTAAGGCAAATGCCACGTCTTTCCACTGTACCTTCCTCAGTTGTAGCTCTTAAGAGTAAGGTCAGTAAGAAAAAATGGACATAATCTGCTTTAACAGGTGATGAGGTACGTTCAAACTAATGGAGAAATGATGCTAGAAAGACCAAAAGAAGGAAAAAAGAGAGAAAGAGGAGGAGGAGGGGACGGGGGAAACTAAATACAGCTATAAACTAAAAAAAAACTTTCAGTGAAAAGCTGATGGGCAGAACCCTGATTGGACCTGAGATTTCTCCTCTCCTTCCCATATTAAAAACAGTAAACCTCTGGAGGTGAGCTATAGTTGAGTAAGTTACCACCTGGGATGGGAAGTCCCCATACCAACTTGCACTCCAGAACCAAACCTCCTGTAGCTATGGGCAGGTGGCATGCCAGCAGGTGACGAACATCTCCCCTCATGGGCAGGCACCACAACAGGCCTGGCACTGAGGGACCACTGACAGCACTATGGCTAGTTAGGTCAATGGCTAAACTGGAAGTTAAGACAGATATGGCAGAGCACAGCTATAACCCGATGTGTCGATTTCAGGTAAGTAATTTCAAGTTTGTAATGGGAGCCCCTTCTTAATTTTGGACTGCAAAGGGGATAGAGAGGGTCGGCCTCAGAGCAGATTCTCTCCTACTTTCCCAGCACAAGGAAGGACTGGTAGGGTTTCTAAGAGCCCAGGTCTCCATTTCCCCCAATGCTCCATTCTCAGACACCAATGCTCCAAATCACTGCTCCTGGCCCTTTCAAGTGCCACACCTACAACGAACAAACTTGAAATCATTATCTCTGCAATGTTGGTGATACCACAGTTACGGCCACCTCAACTCGTCTGCTGGATGACATGGTCGTCACATTGCTGACCTGTCTGTACTGGTAATGGAGCTGGACACAGGGATATGTCAATTCCCTGGTAGTGAGCAAGCTGCCCAGCAAGAGCTCCCTAAAATGTCTGCACAAGGGCACGATGTATTTACTCATCCCACTCCCCGAAGTGAAAAGACAGAGAGAAGCATTTAGTGTCTAAGAACCCTGCCCAAGGAAAGGAGAGGTACCGAGGTAAACCATGGTCATTCTATACAGTCTGGGCAAAGCGGCTGTAAAATGGCAGAATCAGGTTAGCATCATTAGGAACCAGTGCGGACACTTGGCTTTCTTCTAATCCAACTGGTCATGATCTTAGAAGCCTCTAAAGATTACCAGGGGTACATTTCAGTTATCTAAACACTATGTCTGAGGCAGTGGGCCTAAAAGACAGATGTGGCACTGTTTTTTTTTCTTCTTTTTTCTGCTCATGTCAGTTGCTCCAGCATGGCATAGACTGTCAACCTGCAAAGGAAAGGCACACAGAGACCCCACCCCCACCCCTATGTCCCTGCCCACTAACAAATGGGGGATAAAAAGATACCTATGAGAGATGCCAACATTCCAGGCCAGCACCCTCATTCTTTTTCCAGCTCCAGTCTCTGGAGCTTTCACAGTTCCCACCTGCAGCTGCCTCACAGCAGGGGCTCCCAGGAGGACAGAAAGAGGTGGCCCATGTCCTGAGGCTGCATCAGCATCCCCCTTGCCAGTCAAGGAATGTTAACTCTCTGAGCTCTTTTTTTGAGAGTGAGTGAGAGAGATAAAACACAAGGGAAGGAAAGGAGGGGAGCAGAGTGAGGGCACAGGGGGATTAAGTGGAAAAGGAATGAGACCTTCAGGCCTCTGACCCACACAGCATCCTTCTGCCCCCAGACTCCTGTAGGCACAAACAAAGAAACTTTGCTAACTCTGGTATTCTACATAATTTCCAATAGGTTTGACACAGGAACCCAGAGTACAGTCACATACCCTCAGAGACAGATGACTGTGGAAAGTCATGATCCCACGCAAGAATGCATCACTGGATCTGAGTCACCACTCGTCCCCTCTTCCACCCTCTGAGCAGGCAGCTCTGACAGCTGCAAATACTCAGGGCCGGATCTGTCATCACCCAAGCTGTTATACCCAACTTTGTGACACACCACTCTTTCAGATAAAGCCCCATTAAAACCACACCCAATCTTAGTGTTTTTTAAGCATGATTGGGAGAGAAACCTGCTCTTCCTTATGTCATTAAAATAAACACATCTACTTAGTGGGCAAGAATGAGAAACCAGATGAAAAAAGTGCTCCCCTAAACGAGTTACACCAAAAGTTAGAGATGGGGAAGGGATTGCTTAAAACACGTCAATGGGAAAATGTCTATCATCCCATAACATGCACCAAAAACTGGGTCAAATGCCTACAATAGGTTCTTAAGACATGTTCTGTTTTTCTCCTCAATGTCTTAAGAAAAAAAATTGTTTTAAAATCACATTTAAAGGTTCCAAACATGCAGCAATAATAATACAAAAAAGGAAAAGAAAACAAATGAAAATCATCAACATCACAACATTAAAAAGTGCAACTGACTTTGAATGGGGCCTGGATGGGCTCCTCTGGCACTAGTGAAACAGTTACAGAGGGGAGGAAACAATGGGGAAAAGCCACACACAAATACACACATACACACATACACACACACACACACACACACACACACACCCCTCCCAGGCTCTGGGCAGACAAACTCAAAGGATTGGAAAATACAACAGCTCATCTTCCCTCAACTACTGAAATGAGCCAGTGAGACCCCAAAGGACAGGACACCTGGTCCACCTCCCTAGGCCCCGTTTTTAATCAGTCTTGGTCTAGCACCACCGTAAACAATGCAGAACTTTCATATGGACGTGCAAGTGATGTGCGTCCTTGGAATCCTAGTGTTACTTAAGATTTACGGCTTCCTCCTCCTGTGGATGGCAGAGATGGAGATGAGGAGGTCAGTTGTCATTCAGGACCATTTCCAGGAGAAAGGGAGCGTTCCTGAGGTTCTACACTCAGCAGTAGAAGTAGAGGACCCTCCTTCACCAGTCACTAAAAAGTCTGCACCTTGAAATAGGCAAAAATCCACGGACTGGGCATTTTGAGTGGTTTGGGTGGTAGGACAAAATTAGGCAACCTCTTCCAAAAAGGTTCAAAAAACCAGAACTGAAACCTCTCAATTCAATTGCTTCTCAACAACCTGATGATTGCTCCTGTTCCTCTTCCTTGGCAAAGAAGGTCTCCAGTTCCATTAATTTCTGTATCAAAAGCGCATCCAGCTCTCGACTCTGCAGGGCTGCCTTCTGGGCCCTGGTAAAGCTGCCTGCCACCTTGACTTTACCGCGAGCTCTCCTCTTTCGCGGGACCGTAAAATCTTGAAATTCTAGAATTCGCTTTCTCTTCTGCTGACTAATTGAGATTAGCGTACCATTTCGTTCCTTAGGTTCCTCAAAGATGGTTTCTAAACACCTAAGGATGGAGCAGAAAACAGAAATCACCTGTCTCATCAACAGGGGCTGAAACCCAACTTGCACTAACAACTTCTTATTCAAGTATTTAAGTGTTTCCTCTGGCCACAATGTTTTTTTTTTTTTTTTGGTATGAAAAAGTATATACATTTATGAATAGGTAACACATGCACACTGTGAAAAAAATTCAAAATGGACAATACCATAGGCAATACCGTTAACACTTTTTTGTGTGTATCCTCCCAAAAGTCATACAGTGCAGAGACAAGGATAAATAAGCATATATAATCAGGGTTTGGCCCTTCTTTGTAAATGGCCAGAGGGTAAATATTTTAACTTTTGTGAGCCACTTATTTCTGTTCTATATTTTTTTTAAAATAAACCTTAAAGTGTAAAAACCATTCTTAGCTCACGGGCCATCAAAAATAGGCCAATGTGAGGACGTGGCCTGAAGTTTGCCGACTCATGGCATATATCCTCATTTTTTTGTCTTCTTACTAAAATGGTAGCAAACTACAAGCACTGTCCTATGCACTGTATCTCATTCACTCTTTTTAATGGTTATATAGAGTGTTCTGTTATAAGAATGGACCATAATTTAACAAGAAACCGATTAATGGATATTTAGATTGCTTCTACACTCTTACTATTCTTTAACAATGCTGCAATGAATACCCTTGTACAAACATTTTAGTGCAAATGTACAAATACATCTTGCAGGATAAAATCCTAGAACTCCTCCTGCTGCATCCTATGTACATAGGCAACTAATAAATGTTCACTGACTTAAACTGAATTAAGACCCAAAGGTAGCCAAGTGAAACTTCTTCTCTATTTGGGTTTTGAGGTGTATCTGGATAGCTGAAAACATAGAATATTTAGTAAAAACACAAGCACAAACTAAAAGGAGACTATATTTTCTGTACCTACCTAATCCAACACACATCTCTTTCCCATTCTATCACAAACCCCAGTTCAAGTGCTGAGAACTAAAAACATCAATTGTAGCTTTCCAAGACCCAACACTGGCAGAACTGAACATAAGCCCTTTCTGAAGTGAAAGGATTGGAGATTTACTTCAATCATTTCAGAAGTCTTCCCAGCCATGTGTACTTACCTGTTTGCAGGAGGGGACTTATAATTTTTGTTGGTATATATTTCCTCTAAACTAAACTCCTTCTTCTTTAACCTGGAAGAAGAAAAAATAAACTCTTCATGCTCTCTTCAGAGATTGAGTCCTCAACTCTAATTTCCATTAATATGATTATTTTGACCCATGATTTATAAAAGAAAGGTTTCTTAATTTCTAAACATATGGCTTTTTTTTTAGTTAGCTATCTTTTGGTTTACTGATTTCCAAATTAAGTTAATCATGGTCAGTGAATACAGTCTGTACACTAATTTTTTGAAATTTGGTAAAACTGGCTGTTATGGATTGAATTGTGTCCCTCCAAAATGTGCTATAAATCCTAACCCCTATACTTATGGATATAATCCCATTTGGAATTGAGTTTTCTTTGTTATGTGAATGACACAGTATTAGCGTAAGTTGTGTCAATTTCTTTTAAGATATAAAAAAGATTAAACAAGCAAGTGAGGAAACAGATCAGGAAAGACAGATGCCAAGTCACATGAAGATAACCAAGGAGCCAAGGAATAGAAGTTGAAGAGACAAGGATCTTCCCCCAGGGCTGACAGAGACAGAAAGTCTTCCCCTAGAGTTGGTGCCCTGAGTTTGGACTTAAAGCCTCCTAAACTATGAGAAAATAAATTTGTTTGTTAAAGTGACTCACCTGTGGTATTTGTTATAACAATAATAGATAACGAAGTAAAGCCCAATGATGTCCTTTGTGAAAATGACTGTGTACTTGCTGAGTACACCCACTCCTCACTAATCGACATGGTTAGGTTCCAAAGACCAGGTCATCATGTGAAAATTGGCATTATGTGAAAATGGAGGATGACCACATCAGATCACAAAATGGAGGATGACTACATCATTATATAACTGCCAAAATACATCATTACATAACTGACAAACCACTGAGAACATGGCCCAACCAAGTTGACACATAACCATGGCCAGTGTTACTCTTGCACCTCGGCGTTACTGCCAGATGTACATCGTTTACTATTGTCGTAAATGACAAATGTCGGATAACGAGATAGTTGATAAGTAAGCTGTAGGTGCCTTTTAGTATTACAGGCAAGAAACTGATTGCTCCATGTGCTCCCCCACGTTTCACCAGCCCTTCCAGTAAGGCTGGGCCACATGGTTAGCTCAGGCCACTGGAGTGAGCAGACGTGAAGTGTGTAACTTCTAAACCAACGCATTTAAGTGCTGGAGTGATCACTGGTACACTTCCTCTACCCTAGTGACCTAGACGCAATGGTGACTCAAAAAGTCTGGATGTCGAGATGAGTAGGCAGAAAGGGATAGGAGCTGGTTGAATGGACATGGGAAATCTGGGGTGGAAAGTAGGAGTGTGCTGTCACATTATAGGGATTGCAACTAGGGTCACATAACAATGTGTGTATAAATTTTTGTATGAGAAACTAACTTTTACCTAAAGCACAATTTAAAAAAAGCCTGGATCTCTAAGCCTATCTAGGAGGGCTGTCAAGACCGTCAGAAGCCTCAGTGTAAGCAAGAAATCTACATGTTAGCCACTGAAATTTCACTGTTTGCTAGAAATAGCAAAACTTGTTATTCCTCACACATTCATTTATTAAAACAAGCTGGTTAACTGTGCTGTTTAAATCACCTATATCCTTACTGATTTCTGTGGGATGAGAATGTGATTAACATCTGTCTCTTTGTAGCTGACATTTTGCTTTACATATTTTAAGTACGCTATTAGCTGCCCCAAAGTTTAGAACTGTTACTTCTTAGTGAATTAAATAATTTATCATTATGTAGTGATCCTTTTTTATCTCTATTATGTCTGTTTTGCCTTAATGTCTACTTATTTGCCACACAAGGTTCTCGTTCACCCAGGTCCCTCCCTAATGTCTATCTTTCCCATTTTTTTTTTTTCAATGTTCTACCTTTCTGTAATAAGTTTTAGGTATCTCTCATGTAAATATTTAACTGCCTTTTCTTTTCCAGGCTGCCAATCTTCAACTTTATGATATTTACACCTTTTACATTTAGTGAGATTGGTATAATTTAATTTATATCTATTATTTTTATTTTGAAATATTCTTTTTGACAATGTGTAAAAATGGCATGAGGGCAGCGTCTGACCTCCTCTAACTTCACAAAGGAGAAGGAGAAACAAGATAAACAGCCCAAGCCTGATTCCTATGAGGCAGAGGTCAGACATGCCTCCTCTCTCTGCCATCTTTACCAACTCTGACACCAACCGTCACTCCCACAGCACTCTCTACTCTTGTTGTTAGGTGCCGTCGAGTCAGTTTCAACTCATAGCAAACCCACGTACAACAGAACGAAACACTGCCTGGTCCTGCGCCATCCTCACAATCATAGGTATGCACTTTCTACTGGGTTCGATAATTCACTGCAATGGCCACAGAACTCGAAGTCAATACTCACAATCACAGGGTTTATTCGGGAAGTAACAGTTACAATTCAGGTTCAGGAATACTCAGGATACAGTTCTTCCATCAGGACAGCCTCTTCCCAGCCGTGCTCACAGGCATGCCTCTCCCTGGCCTTCTGCCTCTGCCCAAAGGCACTCGGCACTTTCTGTGGGCCAGGAAGCCTACTATGCCAGGTCTCTGCTGCCGAGTCTCGCTATCTTCAATGTTGCTTCTCTCTCTGTCTCCTGGGTCCAGGAGCTTTTCAGTGCAGGGATCCCGGGTCCAAAGGACATGCTCTCTTCTCCTGGCTGTTCTTCCCTCATGGTGGTGGGATTCTCTCTCTCCTGCCTCTGGGATGGCTCACCTCAAGCCCAATGGGACGGCAAAACTGACCAATCCATTTGGTAGACAACAATTACCCTATCACACAGTCCTGCCCAATAACTTGGGTGGGAGTTACAAGACCATGGCTAGAAAAGCCACGCAAAATCAATTCATCACACTGCACGACGAATGCAATGTCATTCCTCTTCAATTTGTCATTCCCAGCATAACAGACTATATGATTGTCTGACTCAAAATGGTCAATACCAGTCCATTTCAGCTCACTAATGCCTAGGATATCAATGTTTATGCGTTCCATTTCATTACTGACAACTTTCAATTTTCCTAGATTCATACTTCTTACTTACATCCCATGTTTCAATTACTAACGGATGTTTGCAGCTGTTTCTTCTGATTTTGAGTCGTGCCACGTCAGCAAGGGTAGGTCTTGAAAGCTTGACTCCACCTATGTCATTAAAGTTGACTCTACTTTGAGGAGGCAGCTCTTCCCCACTCTTATTTTGAATGCCTTCCAATTAGGGGAGCTCATCTTGCGGCACTGTATCAGACAACGTCCACTGCTATTCATAAGGTTTACACTGGCCAATTTTTTAAGAAGTAGACCACCTGGTCCTTCTTCCTAGTCTGTCTTAGTCTGGAAGCTCTGCTGAAACCTGTCCATCATGGGTGACCCTGCTGGTATTTGAAATACCGGTGGCATAGCTTCCAGCACTAGAGCAAAACACAAGCCACCACAGTATGACAAACTGACAGATGATCTATCCTGAAGTACAATGCTGTCAGTGATAGGATAATACCCATACAAGGAAGACCAGTTAATATGACTATTATTCAATTTTATGCACCAAAAACTAAGGTCAAAAATGAAGAAATTGAAGATTTTTAGCAACTTCTGCAGTCTGAAATTGATGAAACACGCAATGAAGATGCACTGGTAATTACTGATGATTGCAATGTGGAAGTCTGAAACGAAGAATGATCAAAAGTTGGAAAATACAGGCTTGGTGACAGAAATGACATCAGTGACTGCATGAAAGAAATTTACAAGACCAAAGCCTTCTTTATTGCAAATACCTTTTTTCAACAATGTCAGAAGAACGAACCAGAATGCTCCTAGAAGCAAGGATGGCGAGACTTTGTCTCACTTACTTTGGACATGTTATCCGGAGGGCCCAGTCCCTGGAGAAGGACATCGTGGTTGGTAAAATAGAGGGTCAGTGAGAAAGAGGAAGACCCTCAATGAGATGGATTGACACAGTGGCTGCAACAATGGGCTCAAACATAGCAACGATTGTGAGGATGGCACAGGACCAGGCAGTGTTTTGTTCTGTTGTACATAAGGTCGCTGTGAGTCGGAACTGAATCGACATCACCTAACAACATTTTATTTTACGTCTTATTTTTGTTCTAGCTTTTCAATGTTTTGGTTTTTCTATTAATTGACTTTTATTTTTATCCCTCTCTCCTTGCTTGGAAATCAAATGCTTTACTACTATTATTCTTTTAATGGTTAGCAAGAATTTTAACATGCATACTTAACTTACAAAGACTAACGTTCATCAATATATTTACCCTTTTCCCAAACAACACAAGATCCCTGGAACATTTTAACTCCAATCAATATTGTACCAATTTATATGCTATTGGTGTTTCATCTTATCTCTTTTAATATACGGTTTCAACCTGAGATTACTCTTTAAAAAAAAAGATTTGTAAAAGAAACCAGATCATTTGGCTGTTAGCTTTACCCAGTCTTGATTTTCTTGATTACATCTCCATGGTTTTATTTAACATGTTTCTCTGTTCCAAACATGTTTTATTCCCTGTCAAACATATGGGAAATATTACACCTACTTCTCTTTTACCGACTATCTCATTATCCAATATTTCACATTTACAACAGTAAAAAATCTACTTTCTGACTATTCTGCACATTAACAATGTATGTCTGGCAGTAACAAAACCCAAGGAGTGAGGTAACACTGCTGTGATGGTTAAGGTTATATGTCAACTTGGCTGACCCATGACTCTCAGCGGGTTGGCAGTTATGTAATGATATAATTTTGCAGTTATGTAATGATGTAGTAATAGTCATCCTCTATTTTGTGATCTGATGTGGTCATCCTCCATTTTTGCATAATGCCAATTTTCCCATAACAACCTGGTCTTTGGAACCTAACCATGTTGATAAATGAGGAGCAGGAGTATAGTATATTCACATGAATTGGCAACTAGACAGAAAGGCATGATCAGATTTAGCTTTTATTGTTTTTGGGAAGAAGACTTTTAGGTGGCCATCAG